GCAAAACCTCATTAATTAATTGCATGAAAACTGCAGGTGCCCCCTGCAGGCCAAAGGGCATTACACGGAACTGGAAGCAACCTAGGGGGGCAGTTGAAAGCAGTCTTCCACTCATCCCCCTCCTTAATCCGGACCCTATAGTATGCCTCCCGTAAGTCCAGTTTAGTAAAAATGCGGCCTTTCCCCAGCTGGGCCAGCATGTCCTTCATCAGAGGCAAAGGGTAGAGATTTTGGGAAGAGATTGAATTAAGGTTCTTAAAGTTCACACAGAGACGAAGAGAGCCATCTTTCTTCTCTCTGAATAGTACAGGGGCAGCCACCTTGGGTCTGGCTGGTTCAATGAAACCCCTTTGCAAGTTCTTGTCAATAAACTTCCCCATTTCCTCCATCTCCCTGGGTGACATAGAATATATTTGGGGTTTTGGAAGCGCTACCCCAGGCAAAATCTCAATGGAGCAATCAGTGGGTCTGTTATTCTTACAGATACATTCAAAATTACTGATTCTCTGTAATCTTTGGTAAATTCTGTTTATATAAATAATCATTTTTTCCAAAGAAATTTCTGGACTCTTATATAAAGTAGAATAATAGTGGTAAAACACTTTCTGCGTATTTGCATTATCTGTTATTACAATGTTTCCTTCTTATAACATTAGTATCACTTTCTTTTGTTTTTCTTTGTGCAGCTCATATGCCAACCATTTTCCTGGTTTACTTATAAACTCAAAATTTCATTGTTTTGCATAATTCATCTTTATTTCTATCTCACCGTTAACATAGATAATTGCTTCTGTAGAAAGAAAGTAATTGTCCTGTCTGAGAGCTCTTTAAACTTTTCCTTTTTTATGGCACCCCAAATCACCCCAAGGCACGAACCCTTGGTTGATTTGATACAAAATCAGATTATCAATTTCCTTCTAACAGAAATTAAAGGATACCATTCAGCCATAGTTTTTATAAAGTTAATTTTTATTTTTACCCCACCTTTACTGTGTTTATAAATAATTCAAGGTAGTGAGCATACCTAATACTCCTTCCTTTTCATATTTTTCCTATAACAACAACCCTGTGAAGTAGGTTGGGCTGAGAGAGAGTTACTGGCCCAAAGTCACCTAGCTGACTTTCATGCCTAAGGCAGAACTAGAATTCACAGTTTTCTGGTTTCCAGCCTGGGTTGTTACCACATTGTAATCACATAAACATTTCCAAAGTATTGGAATCATGGATCAGTTATATTTGTCCAGAAGGGTTTATTTATTTTACAGCAATGAGAAGAGATTAAGTATTAGAAAAAGGACTGAGCCAGAACCTAGTTTTTTTGTCATTTGACTTGGTAAACAAACCTTGCTTTCAGTCTGATTCATCTTTTAGGAAGTTAGTAGCCAATAGTTAAATAGGGGTATGTGTAAATGCATGTGTTTCCTTAAAAGTAAACAACTAGCTCCAGAAAACTACATTGTAAAGCATTACTTCAAAGAAAGAATATATAATTGGGTCACTAAGTCACTGTTTTAAATTATGCAAATATTGTATCCAATACTCTAAATAATGTTACTTGAAGACAGAAAAGAAAAATAACAAAGAGTTGTTTGGCAAATGGACACAGAAGTTTTTCTCTTTTCCCCTTGATTAGCTGAACAATGTGGCTACAATCCCAACTGTACACATTTGGGAATCATTCACTCAAAATTAAAGATATATACAAAAGGTTTAGGAATAGATCTCATGCTTTTAATTTTGAATTATGGGATTTTGCTTGCTTAAAAGAGACTAAATAATTTTATAAAGATAAAATTTAAGAAGTCTTTGAAGTAAATACTGTTGTAAGTCCTAAGGCATTAAAGGACATTTTGGATTCCAGGAACCAGTTCTTTTATTATCAGTAGAATAATGCACAGGATATGCTGCCATCTAATTAAATTACTGTGAGTAGGAAACTAAAAACATTTTGAATGTAGATTAATAGAATATGTTTTAAAAAGCAAACTTTTGGATACTTTGAGGAAATTATATTTTATTACACAGATACTCTGAATGAACTCATCCAGATAAATGGAGGAATTGTTTTCTTGCTCCACCTAGTGACTTAGATGATCACAGAAATTTAAGTGACTGTTTTTCAGTACTTGTTAATTGTGTTTACCAGTGCTGGAAATTAAGAGAAATAAAATTATTGATTGTTTAAATTCTTTGAAACGTTTTATATCTATGACATACTCATAAAAACTGCATATATTTACTTAAACAAATCCTTCTGCAGCTGGACAACAAAGTAAAAAATTGATTAAATAACAAGCTCAGAATAGCTTTAACTCATAAATGAAAATAGGAACGTTGTTCCTCTAATTTGGATATTCATCTGTTCACACATGAACGCTTAGAAGCTGCTTTTAGGGTTTTTTTGTTGATTTACACATGCTTGAATATAATAGGAAGTTGGTCCTTGAAATAATCCATTCTTGAAAGTTCATGGAGGCAAAATAAAATGTGAGTTATATTAAACATGTGAAGAATTAGGACCACCCACCATTACTTCCTGGAATGTACAAAAAACTACAAGCCTTTATTAAGTGGACACAGTTCCCCTCCCCCTAATTAGTGCCATCATCATTTCTGTTATTCATTCACTACCATTAAAAGGGTTACTTATATTACTATTTCTTATTCATAATAATAATGTCCCTATTATTTCTCACACATCTTTTTGTATATTGCAAGAATGACTTCTGTTAATAAATTAATGTTTCTGTCAAGTATGTTAAAATAGTTAAAACATGTTTTTAATTAATGAAGGAATATAGAGAGTCTGTGAAAAAAAATCCATCCTGTACATCTGTATTTGATGTTTATATTCTGCAATCTCTTTTTCTCTCTCCATAGAATATAATTGGTGTGGTGATTGGGAAAACAGATGCCAAAGGCTTTCCGGATAGAAAAAGTAAAGTGGTTTTTAAGTATCTTATTCTCAGTTTCCCAGGCTCTATCTTTCTGTTAGTGTCTTGACTAATTAAAAAAAAAATTGGTGCAATCTTTTCTGTACAATCTATGTTGAAATGACAATAGCTATTTCACTCTTGGCACAAGTAATATAAGATCATGAGAAGTGATAGTAACACTCTACAGTATATAAGCACTTAGACTTATATACCACTTCATAGTGCTTTACAGCCCTCTCTAAGCGGTTTACAGAGTCAGCCTCTTGCCCCCAACAATCTGGGTCCTCATTTTATTGACCTCAGAAGGATGGAAGGTTGAGTCAACCTTGAGCCGCTCAGGATTGAATTGCTGGCAATCAGCAGAATTAGCCTGCAGTACTGCATTCTAACAAGAAGGAAGGAAGGAAGGAAGGAAGGAAGGAAGGAAGGAAGGAAGGAAGGAAGGAAGGAAGGTAGGTAGGTAGGTAGGTAGGTGAGGACTTATATACAACCTCACAGTGATTTCAGCCCTCTCTAAGCAGTTTACATAGTCAATATATTGCCTCCAACAATCTGGGTCCTCATTTTACTGACCTCGGAAGGATGGGTCAACCTTGAGCCTGGTGAGATTTGAACTGCCAAATTACAGTCAGCTGGCAGTCAGCAGAAGTAGCCTGCAGTACTGCACCTTAACTACTGCGCCACCATGGCTCCTCCTATACTATACTAATGAGGCCACACTTGGAATACTGTGTCCAATTCTGGTCACCAAGATACAAAACAAGATGCTGAGGTCCTAGAAAGAATTCAGAGAAGAGCAACAAAAATGATAAGGAGTCTAGAGGCTAAACTGAAGGATTAGGGATAACATGACAGCTGTCTTCTGATACTTGAGGAACTGTTACAGAAAGGTGGGGTCAACTTATTCTCTGATGCCCCTGGAGGTAGGACAAGAATCAATGGGTAGAAACCTGTCAGAGGGAGATCCAACCCAGAAATAATGAGAAATTTCCTGACAGTGAGAACAATTAATCATGGGAACAGCCTGCTTATCAGAGTTGTGAGTGCTCCATTGTTGGAGGTTCTCAAGAAAAGATTGGACAATTTGTCTGAGATAAAATAATGTCTCCTGCCTTGGGCAAGGGATTGGACTAGAAGACCTCCAAGGTCCCTTCCAACCCTATTCTACTATATTCAACTGGTGATAAGAAGTTAAGGGGAGAAAGTTTCCCCCATATCTGTCATTTTTGTTGATGTGTCTCTCAGTACACTTAAGGATATATACCTGTTCCTTAGTAATAGTAGTAATAATAATAATAATAATTCAATATTTTTGAAGCAATGAACATAAGCAAAACATTTTATTCATTATAAAATTCAATACTAAAGTTCATACTAGTTTCTTTTCCTAAACTTTTTCTTCTCATTCCAGAGAAAGTTTTAAAATTATGGTGACCTCTAGTGGTATGAATGAGATTGCCCTGCAATATTTGCATTCTAATTCCTCATATATCAACATTTATAGTACAGGTAGTCCTCAATTTATAACAGTTCACTTAGTGACCATCCAAAGTTACAACTGTACTGAAAAAGTGATTTATGACAATTTTTCACATTTATGACCATTGCAGCATCCCCATGTCCATGTGATTTACATTCAAACATCTGGCAACTGATTTCTATTTATGACGGTTACAGTGTCCTGGGGTGATGTGATTCCCTTTTGCAACTTTCTGGCAAGCAAATTAAGTAGGCAAACCAGATTTACTTAACATGTTTGTTACTAATTTAACAGCAGCAGTGATTCACTTAAACCAATGTCGCAAGAAAAGTCGTAAAATGGAGCAAAACTCACTGAACAAATATCTCACTTGGCAACATAAATTTTGGGCTCAATTGTGGTCGTACATTGAGTACTACCTGTGTAGCATTTCTTCTTCTTTGCTGCTGCTGCTGCTTGTATCTTAATTTCTGTTTCCAGAACTCAGTTTCATTCAAAACCATTATTCATAGCATGGTTTAAGTTTTGTAATAGCAGACAAAATATCATTTACTGTATATTATGTGTCTCACACCAAATTCAAATTTTAAATAGGGTTCTTAAATATACCCTTCTCTGCAGATATTGGATCAGAACGATATACTTTTTGTTTTACCATTCGTGATTCCCCATCATGGTTCATAAATGTGAATTCCTGGGGAAGAGAGGACTATATTAAATCACTTTCAGAAAGCTTTAGACTTGGTGATTGTGGTAAGATGGAATTTATTCTGAACATATTTCAATATGTTTTTCTCTTTCTTAAATCAGTATAATGTGGCTGTGATCTTAGGGTGTTTTTCTTCAAGGAATTACCGACCTGTTTAACTGGAACCAATTTTTTCAGTTAGACTAATTGAAAGAAGTTATATTCACATATTCTGATTAGTGAAGCTGTCATATAAATTTAGAACATAATTTCCCATATTCCTTCTTAGATCGTTGTACTATGTTTTTACTTTTAAAATGTTTCATAAGTATAAAAGTAATGGAGTCATCCCCTACAGTGAATGTGGGAATAGTCTAGTAATTCCTATTGACACAACGGGAATTATTTTTGAATAAAATACATACATAGTATTATACGTTGCCCATCCTTTCTTTCATTTAATTATTTTCACTAGACTAAATGAATCTTTAAAACATCCCCAATGCTTCTCAATAAAATTTTATTATGCGAGCCTGGAGACTTAAAATATAATATTATTTAATGTTATTATTTTTTTATTTCTGGTAATTATTTTATGTGTATATTAAGATCATTGCCAGCTCTTCCTAATTTTCTATACTGTCAAATAAAAGTTACTCCACACTTCATTTACCTTCACTGGCCACCAAAACCTAAGCCAGTCTAGATCTAGTTGATACTTGAATTCTACAACAGAATCTCAGGGCTGTAGGTTAGACAGATTATTTTTTTTAGAAAATGACAAACAGCACCAATGGCAAATCACATCCTTGTTGTGACTAAGAAAACTGCATGGATGTGGTTCCTGCAGTCACCAGGATGTAAGGCTGGTTCCAGAGTATCTTTATTATTTTTCTCTCTCTTTCATTTGAACAATTAAACCAGGAGAGATAAATTTAATCCAGAAAAAAAAAAAGAAATGTCATTTTCTCAAGTGTTGGCAGATATTTGAGGATGGGATTGTTCGAAGATAAGATCTCTCTCCTTAGCAAATTTTACTTGTGTTGGAATCACTAGAAGGGGAAATTAACAATTCTTATCCTAACCTTGTAGCTGTTCAAGGATCAGCCAGAGATGTCTTCTTCACATCTTCAGTGACCTCTATTAATATGGTTGTCTTAATACTGATAAAATGTTTTTTTCTATACTCAGTTAACAGCTGATACAAGCCTAAGAAAAGCATGGGTACAGCTGCCCCATATTACAGGGGCTCCATATTGGTGAAGGGTAGGTAAAAGCCACAGATTACCCATTCCTCATTTAAATGGTATAATCTGTGTGAAGTTACTGTTGGACAGAAATTGGTAAACTAAATCTTCTAAATTTTAAAGTATTTCTAAAAAGCATGTGCAATTAAAAAGCCCTGTCCATTATTTGTATTCCAAGGTAAAAAAGATACTATGCAGCCCAAACATAGCATGTATCTGCATAGTATTAAAAATACAGCATCTTTCCAGGATAGGCCAGCTGCCTTCTGTATATGCAGTGTAATCCTGGGGAAAAGATACATTTGATTTAAGGAGTTGCAGTGTTGCTGGTAGGAAATATATGTGCCAGATGTTATGAAGTGGTGCACATCCTACTTCTTTTATTTTATTTTATTAACTATTTTGTTTGGATTGAAAAGTAGGATATAATTCAAATCACTGTGTAGTTTCTTCTTATATAGCAAACTTTAGGAGTGGTTTGTAGGTATATCAGTCCACTTGTAAACTGTTATTTGATTTTTTTAATCACAGTCATAATTGAAAATCCTCTAGTACAGACAAAAGAGGTGGAAAAAGAAGAAAAGTTTAACCCAACTACAACAAGGTAAATTAAAAATAGAATTTATGTGGTTGGACTAGTTAGATTATTGTTATCAGAAGATGCAGAGGATTATTACTGCACAATTATACAGGTAGTCCTCAACTTAACAACAGTTCATCTAATTCAAAGTTCAAAGTTACAACAGCACTGGAAAAAGTGACTTATGACCGTTTTTCACATGTATATCTGTTGTTCCCATGGTCACATGATCAAAATTCAGATGATTGGCAACTGGTTCATGTTTATGACAGTTGCAGTGTCCCGATGTCATGTGATCAGTATTTGCAAGTTTCTGACAAGCAAATCCAATGGGGAAGCCAGATTCACTTAACAACCATGTTACTAATTTAACAAATGCAATACTTTACTTAACAATTGTGGCAAGAAAAGTCGTAAAGTGGGGCAAAACTCACTTAACAAATATTTCAATTAGCAACATAAATTTTGGGGTCAATTGTGGCCGTTACTCGAGGGCTACCTGTATACAAGCTAAGGAAAATATTCTACATGAATATTGCATATATCAGAACAGGCACAATGTACAGTGTAATTATTTTGGCTTCTGGTTTATTGGAGTAATGTAATTAACATCCAAATCAAAGTACAGAGGGTTTTTTTTTCTGTAGTGTGGCAACAAAATGTTGTAGAAGCATTTTTTCTGCAAAGTACTGCGAGTAAAACTTGCCATACATAAGACAAAATCTTACCTATATTCATCTTTTATCCATATCAAAAAATAGTATAGTAATAGTGTTATTTTCCATATCCAGAAAATAGACCTAAAATATAGCCAAAGCAGAAGGTGGTCAACCTATTTTCCAAAGCATTTGAGGGCAGCAGAAGAACTAATGGGTGGAAGATTGTTAAAGAGATATCCAACCTAGAATTAAAGAGAAATTTTCTGACAGTGAGAACAATTAATCAGTGGAATGGCTTGCCTTCAGAAGTTGTGGGTGCTCCATCAAGATGAGATAGGATAGGGCAATCATTTGTCCAAAATGATGTAGGGTACCCTACCTGAGCAGGGGGTTGGAAAACCTTCAATGTCCCTTTCAACTGTTATTCTTTGTTCTATGCCATTTACATGTTGCGAGTTTATGCCATATTTATGCAGTACCTCAGTGAATTACCTTGAAGTTAATAAATGTTTTAAAATATCCTAATTATCATCTACAGTAGGATTGGAAGCACTGTTTTATTTTATTTTATTTTTGTTTTGTTCCAAGATAATCAATAGCTTATGTTACCGTCTTCACAGTGAATGGCCTGGTGGGCAATTCAGGAAGCTGAATACAGTTGTTCAGTGGTTCTCAACCTGTGGTCTTCAGATCCTGGGGGGAAGGGGGGATGATGCTATCACAGTGGGCAGTTTATTAGTTTATTTCATTGGGTTTGCATCCATGGTACAGAACTGCAGCCTAAAGAGTCATCAGTTGGTAACTACTTCTAAAAGATCCTCATGCATTCATAACATATATGGGCTGCAAAAATTCTCATGAGATTTTTTTTCCCTCATATGCGATAGGCTTACCTTGTTCCAAAGCTTAACTACGGCATAAGGGACAATGTGCTTCCAGTAATTTTGTTTTAGTTTTGAATTAGTCAAAATAAGTTTAGATGTCAGGAAAGTAATTTGAAATTGCTATTTAATATGTCACTCATACAGTATTCAAATATAAAAAGTTTGATGCAACCAGTACAATATGTATGTATTTAAAAGTTGTAAAATATTATGTGCCCACTTGTTAGCAGTTACAAACTATTGCTCAGTGAGAATCACTCTGTGGTCAGAATCTATGAAGCAGATACTGGACTGCTGTCTCTGTTACATCTACCTGTAAAGAACCCACAAGATTTTTACTCATTGGGGGATATTGTGGCCAATGGACAAAGCTTGGATGGAAAAATAATTAATGTTCTTGCTGCTGTTAAATCAGTAAGTCATGTCATCTGTAACAAATCAAAGAGAGCTCACATTATAGCCTGAAAAAATGTAATGGATTTCTGTATAGATAAGAATTTACTGGGTTATAGAAAAGCTAGGAGGAAGACTTTATGTGTTGCTCAGCAGTCTCTTGGCTTGATTTAGCACTGAGAAAGGTTAATGAATAACATAAATCAAATATTTTATAAACAATATTCTATAAAACTGTCATGGATTTAAGATGCAGCTTCAGTAAGGTACTAAAGGTTTAGTTAAAATTTCTGCATAGGTTAATTAGTAATCATGAGGTTAAGTATTAATGCTAAATGCAGTATTCAAATTAAGTTGAATCTCACCCTTGTACCTTTATTCTCCCTTTCCTGCATAATCCATGTAAACTCTTCTGCACAAACCATTTTGAAAAACGCATAAGCTCCTATTAAATGCTAACATTGGAGGGAAGAGGGAGAAATGGTGGGTGAGAGTTTCCTGCCTTCATTTATTGAGTTTAAACTTTCCTTCAGCTGGACTTGGGTGAATAGGGAAAAATAAAGAACCCTTATGTATGTATGCCTATTGAAAGAGAGAGAGAGAGAAACGGGGCATTAACTATATGAATAAAAAACACTTTGTTTTACTTGAAATATGCAGTTCTTTCATTTCAAAGCTTTATCTAGCTACTAAGAATTGGTGACTAATATCGTAGTTTTAACCATTCAGTCATGTCTTGGTGACTTTATAGGCAAGTGCTCTCCATGCTACCCTGTCAAGCACAGCTTCTATCAGTTGTTGGATGTTCATCTATGATAGTATCAAACCAGCGAGTTAACCATTAATACTTCTTAGTAATAAGAATTACTATTTAGTAATAAATAATTACTAAATAGTAACAGCGTTCTGTGCATCTTCGGCATTTAGTCATTGGCCACATGACCACGGAGATGTCTTCGGACAGCGCTGGTTCTTTGGCTTTGAAACAGAGATGAGCACTGCCCCTTGAGTTGGGAATGACTAGCCCAGATGTGCAAGGGGAACCTTTACCTTTACTCTTTAAAAGAGAATTGACAACTAAGATCTCAATCATTGTGTAAAAAACAGACTACCAGTATTTAAAAGAACACTCACAATTTATGGAGTCTGATCTCCACTCATCTACCATTTCATCATCCAAGTCTAACATTTCTGGACTTTGTCTTATGTGTGCGAGGGGAACCTTTACCTTTACCTAATAAATAATTGCTAACGAATTCTATAGGAATTCTTATTGTTTTATAAGTGACAAAATGAGAACACTTCATTTCCTATAGCAATATTCCACAATTTGATAATATCCCACAATTTGATAAGTTGTTCTCAGAAGGTTGTGACTCTCTGAGAAGAATAAACTCTACATTTATCCACCCAAACACTGTAATTAAAACCAGTGCTTCTATAGCTAATTCCTGCTGAAATGGGTTTAAGTTTGAATAGTGGTACCATGAATATGAGAAACATTTCTATTTAACAAAACAAATATACATGGAATGTTATGATCAAGATCAGGTTTTCTTTTTCTTTTTTTCCCCTTTACAAAGGTTGGTGAAACAAAATATTTTGCTACTTCAGACAGGCGTAAAGGCCACAGGTGTGAAGTAAGACTGTATGATGATAGCGAGTCTTCCTTTACAATGATATGGTAAGCACTGGTTGAAGCCATAATTCCACTTTATATGAATACAAAACTGTGAAGTCTGTAGAGATTCTCTGACATCGTTGTCAGAGAATCTCTAGTTGTCCCAAAGGTGCTTTTTTAAGAGGCAACTGGACTTTCTTGTTTTTCTTTTGAAGATGTTTCGCTTCTCATCTAAGAAGCTTCTTCAGCTTCCCCTCTATTCTGCTGTGAAGCATCAATGGGTAGAAATTCATACAATTATCACTAACCAAGCCTGCTAACTGTGTGATCTTTGTGAAATAAAGGATTTATTAAGGCATAAGGTTCTTAGAACTTTGAATATAAAAACACCTTTCATTTGAGTTACCATATCAAGAAAAGTTCTGCATCCAGAACTCTCTATAGAGAAAGGGAGGCTGCTGCATCTATAAGCTTTTAAATGGGGGGAGGGGAAGGTTTTTAATTCTATTGTTCACATAAAAGTATAAAAAGTAAAGAAACTTACCTTGATGGAAATATGCAAGAAACGTTAGCAAGAGGGTTGTATTCCTGAAAAAAGAGATAACATTCGGAAGCGACTCAGATAGATGCCTCCCTGATTCATTGGAGAATAAGAAGGGGTGGGGGAGACACAGCACAGACTTTCAAGATTCTGTTACAGGACATCTCAATAAAAGTAGATCTAGTCTGCAATTAGTCAGTGGAACAGCTTGACTCCTGGAGTCGTGGGTGCTCCATTGCTGGACACTTTTAAGAAAGGACTGGACAACCAGTTGTCCAGGATGAATAAGGATTCCTGCCTTGCGCAAAGGGTTGAACTAGTACACCTCCAAGTTCCTGTAGAGTTGATTTCCTGGTTTCTTCTATCTACAGGGGCTTACAACAAGATAGATAATTGAGATTAACATTTTAGGAAAATGTAAGCTAAAATGCAGCCTGGAGTGGCAAAGAACATGTGCATTCTATGCTATTTGCTGTTAGTATGACCAATTTCTTCAGTCTTCAAATGCATTTAGCTGACAGTTCACTAGACTTATGCTTTCTGAGTTTTTTTTGAGAGCTGTGGAGAACTTTAGATTTAATTCCAAAAAGGGGCTTCAGAGCATATGGAGACATAAACGTATCACCTGCCTATGACTGTTATAAACAGATCCAGATATGTACTATATTGTATATCTTCCATATGTTCAGAAACATCTTTTAAAAAGCATATCCAAAGTGCTGTACAGCCCTAATATTTTGAACCTCTTAAATCTAACCTGTCTGGCTGTGTTTTCCCATATTATATCTTCTACCTATTGAATAATACGAGCATCTTCCCATAGCAGATGCACATGGGAAGATAAAAGATAGGATCTTTCCATTTGCTCTAGAATTTATTTAATAGGATATCTCCTGATTATGAATTTCTAGGAAGGGAGGTAGTAGATAAACATCTGATCAAGTATTTGTTTTGTTTTTCTTTTTTATTTACTAGATTAAGTATGTATATGCTTACATGTTTTTAATATTTGAATAATTCTCTAATATACAGTCATATACATTTAAATAAATAAGCATTTATTTATAATAACCTAATTCTATTGTTTTCTCCAGCTGGGACAATGAATCTATCCAGTTTGCACAGAGCTGGATACCGCAAGAAACAGGTATCATTTTTTTCATTTTTCGTAAACGTTACCAGATTTCGTTAAAATATCTAAAGTTTGCCTGGGATAACAAAACACATTGTATTTTCTTTTCTCAGTAATATTTGCATCTGATATAAGAATAAATGTTGACAAATTTAGAAACTGTATGATTGCAACTGTAATCTCAAAGACCATCATTACTATTAACCCTGGTAAGTAATTGTTCTTAAGTTCGGCTTAAAGTATCATAAATGCCTTATTCTAGTTCTTTTAATGAACAGAAGTTTGGGAATTTAAAGTCGGTGGTTTGGATCTGAAATAAAACTCTCTATAACTATAAATAACGTTTCATAAACAACTGTAGCAAATTTAATTGAAATCCCCTGCTCAGTCTTATTTTTTCTTTATATGGCCATTTTATAAGTTTGAAATTATAATGACTCTGTTCCCCAATCATCAGTATAGCCCCATGGATAATACTTTCATCTAAAATCGTTATTATATGTTGTGGCATTGCCCATATTTACTTGTATTAATATTATATTGAAAAATATTTTTTCAAGATACAGCGGAAGCCAATATTTTATTCAACTTCATAAGACAAAATCCAGAAATGTTAGACTTGGATGATGAAATGATAGATCAGTGGAGATCAGACTCCATAAATTGTGAGTGTTCTTTTAAATACTGGTAGTCTGTGTTTTTACACGATGATTGAGATCTTAGTTGTTAATTCTCTTTTAAAGAGTAAAGGTAAAGGTTCCCCTTGCACATCTGTGCTAGTCATTCCCAACTCAAAGGGCAGTGCTCATCTCCATTTCAAAGCTGAAGAGCCAACGCTGTCTGAAGACGTCTCCGTGGTCATGGGGCCGGCCTGACTCAATGCCAAAGGCACACGGAACACTGTTACCTTCCCTATTTTTTTACTTGCATTTTTTAAATATTTGTTTTTTAAACAAACAAATGGACAGAACAAAAAACAAAAAACATTAAACCATCTTCCTTGACAAATTATAGAAAGTGTGTCAGTTGGTTACAAAATTTCTATGCATCCCTTCCATAGTCATCACTTACAATCTACTTGCATTTTTACATGCTTTCGAATGGTTAGGTTGGCAGAAGCTGGGACAAGTAACGGGAGCTACTAGTGCTTATGCAGCACTAGGGATTCGAACTGCTGAATTGCTGATATTTCTGATCGACAAGCTCAGCATCTTAGCCACTGAGCCACTGCATCCCTTTTTTTTAAAGACTAACCATGCCTTATAACTGATTGGAATTTTTTGCTTAAAAAATACTATTTTATCTATTTATGAAAAAAGATCATAAATTATGTTTTGTGAGGATAAGGCGCACAAATTAGAGAAATAATAGTTTTAAAATGAAGAATAATACAGATATATTCAGCCCCTATAGCATTGGCTTATGAATACAAGGTTAGGCCAGTCTGGAAAACCAGATTCATATAAAAACAACAATTCTAGTTATATCCACAAATGATGAAATGATTGTAATATCCACTGAAATGTGAGGAAGTTTCCTAAATCACACAACATGCTAACCCACAATATAATTATGGCTTATTACAGGTAATCCTTGATTTACCACAGTTCATTTAATGACCAAAGTTATGAAGGCCCTAAAAAAAACAACCTTAGGACCGTATTTCGCAGTTACAACCTTTGCAGCAGCCCCATAATCATGTGATCAAAATTCAGATGCATGGCAACTGGTTCATACTTATGACCGTAGCTGTGTCCCAAGGTCATGTGTTTCCCTTTTGTGACTTTCCAACAAGCAAATCAATGGGGAAGCCAGATTCACTTAACAACCGAGTTACTAACTTTGTCAACTGCTGTGATTCATTTAACAACTGAGGCAAGAAATGTTGTAAAGTTGGACAAAACTCACTTAACAAATGTCTCAACAACAGAAATTTTGGGCTCAACTGGAGTCATAAGTTGAGGACTACCTGTATGATGTATGAATCTAGCCACTGGTTTATAAATCATAGTATGTTATTTGCTTATTTTAGGAATTTGGGGGTTATTTAGAGAACAGTTTGGTGTAGTGGTTAAAGTGGTGATTTAGAAACCAGGAGACTGAGTCCTACATGACAGCCAGCTGATTTGGGGCCAGTCTCTCTCTCAGCCCAACCCAGCCCAGCCCAGCCTAACCCACCTCACAGGGTTGTTGTGGGGAAAATAGAAGGAAGATGTATTATGTATGTTCCCTGTCTTGAGTATAAGGTAATAAAGGCAGGATAAAAATCTAATAAATAAACAAATAAATAAATAACATCACACTGCCCTTAGAGCCACCAGGCTTTGCAGAATGTCCTATTCATATTTGAGTCTTAGACTTCACTCTAAGTTCTGTTGTTTTCAGATGTGCTTTTCTTTTTTTCCATTTCTTATCTATAGTGCAGACAATAGTTGACGTTTATACAGTGGAACAATTAAAGATGAAAACTTTGCAAAATGAAGGAAAGCCAGAACCATTTTATGGCATTATTTTTGCTTACATTTCTTCATTGAATATTGATAATGAATCAAGTAAAGTAATACGAAACAAATGGTAAGCACCTCGTTAAGGGAAATTGGGTAGCATTGTGGACATTTATTCTCTTCTCAGTTTCAAATTAGCCTGGAAAACCATTGAGTTTGTACATTGAAATAAACTCTTTAGGCCCTGCAATCTAACCCCCTGCTCAGTGCAGTAAGCCTAATTAAAGCATGCCTGCCAGATGGTTACCCAGCTTCTGCTTTAATCTATTCAGTGGTCTACTATCTCCTTTGATTATGGATTCAACTGTTAAACTGCTTTCCATTCATCAGTCTGCTTAATTTGAAAAAAAAAAGAGCTATAACACAGAAAAATCCATTTGAAAATCAGTTAACTGTATACCTATTAATGTTTCCTTTTTTTCCTTTGTAGTGTTAAATGCCACTATGTTATCAATGAAAAGACAAATACATGTTCTTTTTGTAGCAGCACTAACTCCTTAGCTGACACTGTGCCAATGTTTGCCAGCTTTGATTTATTAGTTGACCTAACTGACCATACAGGAACTCTTCACTTTTGCAGTCTCTCAGATACAATAGCAGAAGAAACTTTAGGTCACACGGTAAGAACATAGGAAATAGTTTCCTACTTCCTGAATTTATTCTTTTAGGTTTGTTATGCCAGTAAAAATCCTGGAATCTCTCATCAATGCTTGAGGCCAATTCAGATAATGTGAATTTGTGGATACCAAAAGGCTTGTAAATCTGCTGTATTTAATGAAGTGGGCATCGTTCAATTAAAAGCTATTCCAGCTTAAATTTTCTAAACTCTTAATAATTTCACAAAGCATCACTATTATGGTAGTTATCACAAGTTAGATATCAAAAGACTTCATTAGAGCCAGTTTAGCCTAGTGGTTAAAGCACCGGGCTAGAAAGCCCAGGAATTCCAGTTTGGTCTTAGCCATGAAAACCAGCTGGGTAACTTTGGGCTAGTCACGCTGTCTCAGCCCAGCCTACCTCACAGGGTTGTTGTTGTGGGGAAAATAGTAGACAAAGGTATGTTGGATATGTTCCCAAATTATTTCTAAAAGTAATAAAGGCAGGATACAAACAAAGAGATTTGCTTCACATATATTATGACGATTCTATAGCAATCAGTTGGATAAAAATAATTTATTTCTGAGGTAGTGTTTATATTGAAGTGGTAATTACAGATGTTTAATAATTTTGATTCATTTTAATGTATTTTCTTTCCAGAGAAACTTTGAAAATTGCATTTACTGCTTTATTTGCCCTGTAGAAAATTTAACTTTCTGATAATTATACCACATTCTGGATATGAACATTTTATTGTTGAATTATGTTTGATAGCAAATGTACGTTTATTTTTAACAAACTGATCTGTGATCACTCCACTAGGTCCAAGAATTTCAAGCTCTGACAGAGACACAAAAGACAACATTAAAATGGCAACTCCTTCTAGAAAGAAGCAAAATTTACTTTAAGGTAAGTATCAGTATAATAAATAATAATGAAGCATGATAAAATATAGAAGAGCCATGTAGATGGAGTGATTAAGATGTTGATCTAAAAACTAAAAGGCTGAATTCTAGGCCTTCTTTAGCTGTGAAAGCCAGCTGGGTGGGCCACTCACTATCTCTCAGCCCAATCCCAATTCATGCAGGTTATTATGGGGAAATATGAGGCAGAAATATTAAATATGTTTGCTGCTTTGAGTTTATATATATATCTAATAATAAGAGTAATCATCATCACCATCATCATAAAATCATTAAAGTGGGGATTGTGCAAAGAAGCAGAGGAAACAGTAGATCATATACTCAGTTCGTGCAAGAGGATTGCATAAACTGATTATAAAAAAAAACCCCATCACAGTCACCAAAATGATTCATTGGAACATTTGTAAAAATTATCATGTTGCAGCACAGGTAGTCTTCGACTTATGACCGCAACTGAGCCCAAAATTTCTGTTGCTAAGCAAGACAGTTAACTGAGTTTTACCTCGTTTTACGACCTTTCTTGCCATAATTGTTAAGTGAATCGCTACAATTGTTAAGTTAATAACATGGTAATTTGGCTTCCTCATTGACTTTGTCAGAAGGTTGTAAAAGGAGATCACATGACCCCAGGACATTGCATCCGTCATAAATACTAACCAGTTGCCAAGCATTCAAATTTTGATTGCGTGGCTATGGAGATACTGCAATGGTTGTGTGAAAAATGGTCATAACTCACTTTTTTCAGTGGTGGTGTAACGGTCACTAAGCAAATATTTGTAAGTCTCTATATGACATCCTAAGTTCTTGGGAAGAGATTTGATGCATAGGAGAGTCAACATCACCTGTGATTCCACGTTGTTATGAATATAATTACACAATAATACAGTCCTAAAGATATCACTATTTCTTACAACTTGACCAGTATACTAACATCTCAAAATCTATGATCAGTTTTTCCCACTGAATGAAAAACTTTGATCTGCAAGAAAAAGACATGTCTACAATATTTTGGAACATAGTATCCAGAAATTTAAAAAACCCCAAGATTTTTCTAAACCACACAGTAGTACAGAATGTTTACAAATTACTAAATGTATGTGTGTCACTGCTCAAATATTTTGTCAAGATTCTCTAGCAGTATAAGGAGATATTAGGAGATACAAATGGCTTCCATCCTTTTCTAATAAATACTATTTATGAAACATACATACATAAAATGTTCAGCCTGTGAACCTAGTAAAAAGGAGAGAAAATCTTTAAAAATGATGATTTGTACATTTACTTCCATAGGTTATTTTTTCTACCACAGCACGAACTGGGCTAAGAGTGAAACTGCTTTCTTGCAACCTAGCAGATCCAGTGGAGGCTTGTCAAAACTTGCCTGAAAAAGGAAAATATTATGCATCTTTAGAATAAATGGAAGGAATTCTTATTTTATCATAGCAGGGCAAAATGACATCTGTAGAGGAGAATGCAGACTCCATACAAAGGCTTGTAAAATATACTTTATTAAGGTGGCAAGATTTTATCTGGCTTTGAAGGGTTTGTTTCACTTTCCAATTTAGTTTTCCATTATAATGTGGAAGGAATATATGTTTTCAATATTCTTCACAAGCATGTTTAATTTCAGATGACCTCAAAAAGGAAGACTATTCAGGACTTTTTGTAGCGAGAGATGGTTCAGTAGTTAAGAGTTTCAGCTGGGACAGAAGCACCATCTTCATGTGTTGCACAAGCCATGAACTTATTAAGTGTTATGAAGGAGAGTCCTTCCTCAACACTTCCCCGTTTCCCTACTTTAAGTGTTCAACAGAGAAAATATATCTATGACCAGTGTTGCAAAAATGCTAACTATATTTTGTTTCATAGATAACCGGCAAGAAATATTATGAACTGAGTGGCATTTATTCAGAGAGAAAAGGAGACATGTTTTGGCTTCATTTCAAAGTGCTTTTAAAATCTCATCATATAAAATACAATTTCCAAACAATACAATTTGCCGCAAAATTTCTTCATTACTTGGTTACGGTTTTAAGGAAGGTAGATTATAACTATAGGATATGATGTGTTTTGCAGTCTTAAAAATATATAGGCTTTTTATTTATAGTTATAGGCTGGCCTTTTCCAGACAAGCCAGAAATAGGAAATAGACAACCAATATAGCTTCTAAACTTGAGCTTGCCAAAGGGATACAGCCAGGATATCTTATCTGCAAATCATAGCAAAAGGCTTCCAGTGTTAAGGTTTACTTAAGCTGCTCCAATGAGGCAACTGGTGTATGTTTGTGAGTATATTGCTATATTCTGGTTTAATTTATCTGAAATAAAGTCACTGTATCTGGTACACAATAGGTTGGGATCACTGTGGGTGGCACTCTGTGTGAGAGAAGGAGATATCATTCTGAAAGCCTCCTATTTTCCATTTCGGAGTGGGGAAGGAAGGTGCTTTTTCATCTTTGAAGTGAAACATCTTCAAGGAAAAACCAACCACTTGCCTTTTGAAAAAACACCTTTTGGAACAACCATGACCCGGATGACTGAGAATCTCCTTAGTTGCTTCCAGAGAAAAGGAACTTCCACACATCAGGGCTGGCTTTTCTGCCGCGCCACCTGAAAGCGTATGCTCAGCAGCCCCTCGATCCCAGCTTCTATTTCATCGTTCTCTTGCACAGCCGAAACTCCTTCGGGGGATCCCGTTAAGATGATATCTCCTTCTTCCAAGGTGACAATTCCACTGATGTAGCTGATGATGTATGGGATGGGGAAAATCATGTCGGACGTGTCCCCGTCTTGACGCAACTCTCCATTCACCTTTAGCCAGATCTTCAACCGATGTGGATCTGGGACTTTCTCCTTGGGCACAAAGTCACTTACTGGACAGGAGGTATTGAATCCTTTGGCCAGAGTCCAAGGGAGCCCTTTCTTCTTGCACTCCTCCTGAGTGTCCCTGGCTGTCATGTCCAGGCAGAGAGCGTAGCCTGCCACGTGACCCATGGCTGCTTCCTGAGGGACGGTCTGGGCTCTCTTCCCAATCACCACGCCCAGTTCCACCTCGTGGTGCAGCTTATTGCAATAGTAGGGCTGGATGATGGGATGGCCCTCCCTGACGTAGGCCGAGGAGGGCTTGAGGAAGAAGAGCGGCTCAGTGGGGAGGGCATTCTTCAACTCCTTGGCGTGGGCTGCGTAATTCCTCCCCACACAGAAGATGTTCTTGCCCCATTCCCAGAACTTGCCTATAGGCTTGGAGGAAGCCATGCTACAATTATCAGCTCTTCAAAATCGTCAGCTCTGGAGGCAGCAGCGGTTGTGTAGCTTTGCTTGAAGAGCAACAATTTCTCCACACAGCAATCTGGATCCCGATTTCCAGTCTGGGGGGGGGGGAAAATCAATAATTTAGAGGGTTTGACATTTTTCCCATACAGCTTCATACATACATACATACATACATACATACATACATACATACATACATACATACATACA